TCCTCCTCCTCCTCCTCCTCCTCCTCTTCTTCTTCTTCGTCTCCCATCCAAATACTGGCCAGGGCCAATCCTGTTCAGCTGCCGAGATCTGACAGGCTAGCCTGACAAAATCCCTTGAATTGCTCCGGATCTTCCTTCCCAGATGTCATGGAATGCATGTGAAACAGTTCAAGGTGCTTTGGATGGAATGATCATTATCGCTGCATAAAACAAGATTTTATATCGTTTGAGCTCCATCTAAAAGTGGAGATGACATGAGGGGATGTTAAGCCACCTTTCCTAGCAACACAGTTCTGATCTAGATGGGGCACCCACAGCTGTTTTCTGAGTTACCGTTGCCAACTCCAGTTTAGGAAATTCCTGGAGATTTGGGGGCTGAGCCTGGACTCTGGAGGGACTGAAGTTTGGGTAGGAGAGGGAACTCAGGAGGAGGGATGTGACGCCATGGAGTCTGCCCTCTATTCCTCTAGGTGAAATGATCTCTGTCATCTGGAGATCAGTTGTAATTCTGGAAGACCTCTAGGCCCCACCTGGAGGTTGGCAACCGTTTTAAGTTTGGCACTTACAGTGATCAGATCCAACACTGTTATTTTTTTTAAAAAAAACTCAGATGTCTCATCTCAGAGCATATAGAGGAAATAAGAAACGAATCCCTCGATAACAGTGAATCGCTCTTGACCATTTCAAATTTTCTCCTTTTAGCTACAGGGAGGAAGTTCTTCCAAGGGGACATTATCTTGCCGGTACGTTTGATTGATCTAATGCTTGGAGGAGGTTCTGGAGAAAGGAGAACTGTTAAACTCTGACACGTCCTTAATTTTCTTGACAGCCACAGAAAAATGCGCTAAGGAACGCCTCCTACAGGTGGAATCTTCCAATTCCTTACATAATGGGTAGCACCTTGGGTAAGAAGATCCTTTGTGTTTCGGCACTCCTATGGGTGTACTTTTACTACAGACAACACTTCCCTCCTCTCGTCCACAGAATGGATTGGCTATCACAAACAGTATTCTAATGGAACACACCTCTGGGATCCCTATTCCCACTGGTGCCGCGAGATTTCCCATCCTGCTGCCGCCACTGCCTGCTGCTGCTTAGCTGGGCAGTGGAAGGAAAATGGCCAGGGAACTGGGGGGCATAGTTGGCAACTGGCATGATGACAGAACTTTGGGCATGACCTGGAAGTAACGTCATCACATCATGTGATGCGCTAATATGCACTCAAATCTATGGATAACTCCAGGGCTATTTTTGGGCCGGAACGCACAGGAACGGAGCTCCGGCTAGCTCCCGAGTTGGCCACGCCCAGCAGGAACTCATTAGCATAATAGACTACACCCAATAGGAGAAACTCATTAGGATTGGCTACATTAGGGGTGTGTGGCCTAACATGCAAAGGAGTTCCTGCTACAAAAAAAGCCCTGGGTTTTGACCACAAACAAGGTAAACAGAATAAGAAGGGAAAGGTGGGTGTGGCTGGATGACCACACTTCTGGTAACACGGGGGTGTTGCCTAACGTGCTAATGAGCGGTGCTGTCAGGGGTGTGGCCTAATATGCTAATGAGTTTTGCTGTTGGGTATGGCCTATTATGCTAATGGGTTCCTGCTGGGCTTTTTCTACAAAAAGAGCCCTGGATAACTCTATGGTAAGCCATCTGGTGCAGTGACATCACTTCTGGGTTACACTGGAAGCGACGTCTTTGCACGTGGCCTGCCAGTTGCCCCCCCCATATCTGTAAGTCCCCACCTCCCCCATCTCCTGCTGGTTGCTAGGCAAACCTAGAATCCATTCGATTTATAATCATAATCTGACCATTTAAAGCAGAAACACTGTAGCAACAATACATAGGGAGAATTTTTTAAAAAAAACAACTATTAGCTTTTAAAAATGGGTCAGCTTTGTCGCTGTCATTACAGGAGATGTCCAAAGTTCTGTCATCAGCCAGAGAAAGATATCTCGTGAAAGCAGATCTGAGCACATTCTTTCTTAAGATAATGTGATTAGGTATGGAGATAAAGTTTATGGTATGTGGCAAAAGATACGTTGAACGGACAGCCAAAAGCTGTCTTACAAGAACCAGTTTGGTGCAGTGGTTAAGAGCGGTGGACTCCAATCTGGAGAAACTGGTTTGATTCCCCACTCCTCCTCCACATGCAGCCTGCTGGGTGACCTTGGGTCAGTCACAGTTCTCTCAGAGCTCTCTCAGCCCCACCTACCTCACAGGGTGTCTGTTGTGGGGAGCAGAAAGGAAGGAGATTGGAACCAGCATATAAAATCTTCCTAAATCCGAGTTACAGTGCTTTCTAAATAATTTCAGCACCAAACTCTTGCCCAGAATGCCTTTCTTGAATATCCGTTGAGTTATTTACAGGAGCAATTCAAAGCTTTTGACCATGAAGTATGTTTATATATATTTTCCATTTGCCGGACAGTCATTTTGAGACCTCATTGGTGTATGTCTCCCGTTTCCTTTCAGATCTGAATACTAAAGGCGTCATCTTGCAGGCATTTGAAATGTTTCGACTGAAGTCTTGTATTGACTTCAAACCTTACGAGGGAGAAAAGTCGTATCTCCAGTTTGAGAAGCTGGATGGGTAAATTGACCGTAAAGTCTCTGATGCTGTATATGAGTTGACCGAGGTCCCTTTTATACCGGTGCTTTCAACCTGCTTTGGCTTCTTTAGGCAAATGGGTATTTTTGAAGGTTTTACACTCCTAAAGGGTAAAGGGTAAAGCACAACACACACACAGAATTCCCTGTATCAAAACAGGTTTTGGAAAACATGAACTGAAGTCTTCATTATCTGTTCTATCCTTGGCGAGTTTTATCCTTAAGGTCTGCCACGCCCCCTTCCTCCAAGGAGTGGTCTGCACAGTAAAAAGGTAAAGGTAAAGGTTCCCTTGCTCGAAAGCCAGTCGAGTCCGACTCTAGGGTTGCGGTGCTCATCTCCGTTTCAAAGCCGAAGAGCCAGCACTGTCCGAAGACATTTCCGTGGTCATGTGGCCAGCATGACTGAACACCCAGGCGCACGGAACGCTGTTACCTTCCCACCGAAGTGGTACCTATTTATCTACTTGCAATTTCTTGCTTTCGAACTGCTAGGTTGGCAGGAGAATTCCCTGTATCAAAACAGGTTTTGGAAAACATGAACTGAAGTCATCATTATCTGTTCTATCCTTGACGAGTTTTATCCTTAAGGTCTGCCATGCCCCCTTCCTCCAACGAGTGATCTGCACAGTGCAGACACACAAAGTCCGTGCATATTCTCCTTCCCCATGGTCAGTGTCACTCCTTTCTGCTGGCACTCCTTCTCTACGTGGCGGGCTTCCCAGGTCTCCTGCCGAAGCAGGAGACTCCCTTGATGACCCTACCCGCTGTCACTGAGCTGGATGGAGTGTGAAAAATGGGGGGGAATGGGGGGTGATTGGCATTATCGTGACACCATTACATCACTTCCGGCGTGACCTGGAAGTGACATCATTGCGTCGAGGGATGCTCTAGCATTTGCCCAAAGCTCTATGGTTAAACTGCAGTGTCTGGGGAGAATTCTACAGTGATGACAGTGATGTGATGACGACACTTCTGGATTATACTGGAAGTGGTGTCACCGCATTGTGGGGGATGTATCAACGATACCGGCAAGGGCTTCCCCAATACCGTAAGTCTTCTAATAGTTGCCAGCTTTGAGCTGCCAACTCTTTGGTGTAGTGGTTAAGTGTGCGGATTCCAATCTGGGAGAATCGGGTTTGATTCCCCACGCCTCCACTTGCAAGCCATAGTTCTGTCAGAGCTGTTCTCTCAAGGACAGTTCTGGAAAGAGCTCTCTCAGCCCCACCTACCTCACAGGGTGTCTGTTGTTGGGAGGGGAAGGGAAAGGGGTATAAATCCAATCTCCTCCTCCTCCTGCTTGGTCAATCAAGGCACAGCCAGGTCATCTGTACAAGGCTACTGAGTCAGGCCAATGGTCTGCCATGGCCAGTAGTCTGCCTGGCAGCAATTCTCCAGGGTCTCAGCAGAGGTCTTTCACATCACCTACCCTGATCCATTTAACTAGATATTCCAGAAGTTGAACCTGGGACCTCCTGCATACAAAGCAGGTGCTCTACCACTGAGCCATGGCCGCTACCCAAGGGAGAGGAAGTCCATAAATAGTCCAAATGATATAAATCCATCAGCTGTACAATTCCTATCACCTTAAATCAGCATTCAATAAGCATTCTACACTGGGAAAGGCCTAAGCAATTGGGGGTTGTAATCTAACACATGGCAGTTCATTGTGGTTGGGAACCAGCTCTGCAATTTGCTTCATGCAATCATTAACCCAACCTAACCTTGACTGGTGTCATCCTACTTGCCTGTCGGGGTGCCTCAAATCAAGCTCGAAGAAGAAGAAGAAGAAGAAGAAGAAGAAGAGATTGGATTTATACCTCGCCCTTTACTACCCAAAGGAGTCTCAGAGTGGCTTACAAACTCCTTTCCCTTCCCCTCCCCACAACAGACACCCTGTGAGGTGGGTGGGGCTGAGAGAGCTCTTCACAGAGACTGCTCTTTTTCAAGAACAGCTGTGCCAGAGTTATGGCTTGCCCAAGGTCATCCAGCAGGTGCAAGTGGAGGAGTGGGGAATCAAACCCTGTTCTCTCAGATTAGAGTCCGCGCACTTAACCACTACACCAAACTGGCTCTCCAAGGGATTCTCTGCTCTGCTGCTTGACTTTCCTCGGCACAGCAAGACAGGCAAGCTGTTTGACCCCCATCCTACTGCCAAGTGGGAAGCGGCAAGGTGTTTGTTTTCTAATTGATACCAGATTTTCTCATTGATACCCCTGGAGAGCAGAACAGGGTGGATCTTCCAGATTTATTTGGCTGCGATCATATGCACAATTAGACCCGACATAGGTGTGAATGCCGGGCGGATTTAAAGGGCACAATCAGACAACAACGTCTGGGAAGTGCCCGGCAGCTGTCGGCAATTTGGTATTAAATGGGTTGCGATGGGCCACGGATGAACTTTCCCCTGTCTGATCGCTCCACTGCGCTCTCATGGCGTCGGGATGGTCTGATCAGGCTATCCCAACTCTGTGCCTTTCGCAGTATGCACATCATCGCAAACTCCACAGGGAGCCCTTGGTGCGGAGGTGCGATTCATCGATCCCTTGTTTAAGTGCATGGGGGGAAAAAGGCATGCAAAAAACCTGACTCGCCTGCAGTTGTGTCTCACCACGCACTGATGGCCTGCGCCCACAGCTTCAAAGGGTGGTGTGATCGTGCAACTGCGGGTCAAATTCCTCCAGAGGAAAAAGCCTCACTCCCCCCCCCACCCCGTTTTTTTCTGGCGCGTGTGACCGCAAACTTTGTTTATTTTCTGCCATCACATTCACAGCTGACTTACGGCAACCCCGTGGGGTTTTCAAGGCAGGAGATGTTCCGAGGTGGTGTGCCATTTCCTGCCTCCATGTCGTGGCCCTGGTGGTCTCCCTTCAGAATACTAACCAGGGCTGACCCTGCTTTACTTCCAACGAGGCTAGCCTGTCAGATAGGCTATAAAAACAGCATTTATTTTTCCTCTGAGGGAAGTGTGTTTGAGTGATAAGATGACTGATTCAGCTTTATGGACCTTAGGAGCATGTACATCATGTATATCCTTTGACATAACGTCCGTAACACAGATAGGTTTTGTTTTTGTGCTATAAGGCAGCCGAGATCAATTTTAAAAATTATTTATTTCTTTAGAAGACTTCTCTCTCTCGTCTCCAGAGAATCTGCTCCCAGGCATCTTAACAAAGTAAAACGTAATTAAAAAAAATAAGGCGGCATAAAAGTCATTTACAATTAATAAACTATTTCAAACCCAGCATTTAAATACCCAGTCAGAGCATCAAATGCTTCACGACACAAAACAAGTCTCATGAAGCGATTCTCAGGCTGGAAGCAGATCCTAAAAATGATGTCAAAAGATCAAACTCCTTAATTAAAAGTCTGGGCAAAAAGAAATGGTTTGGCCTGGGGCCTAGCAGAGGACAGGGTGGGTGCCAGGCAGGTGAATCTAAAGATGAAGGGCATTCCACAGGGAAGGTGCCACCACTGAAAGTGCCCTGTCTCCAGTCATATCCTGCCTTGCTTCTGAAGGTGGGGGCACATACTGTAGGGCTTAAGAGGCAGATCTGAACTGGTGGGCTGAACATGTACTCTGCCCTCAAACTGTTTAGGGCCTTAAAGATAAGAACCAGGAGTCTGAATTGTGCTCGAGAACAAATGGGCAGCCAATGTAGATCTTTCAACATGTGAACCCCATATCCCACCCCTTCCACATTTTGGACCAGCTGAATTCTCCAGGCAGTTTTCAAAAGCAGCCTGTCATGTACGGCACATGACAGTAACCTAACCTGGATGTGATCGGAGCATGGATCACCGTGGGTGAACCATGGTTTTTGAGGACTGATTGGGGGAAAGAGAAACTGTTTCCACCTTCGTTGTGATCTGGCACTTCTAAATGGATGCCAGGCACATATCAGGGAATCTACTAAACCTGTGGTTTAAACATCTCTATTCTTGTCCAACAGATGTTGGTCCTTCGTAGGTGATTTTAAGACTGGCCAGAATGTTTCTATTGGACCGCGTTGTGAATATAAAGATACTGTGGAGCATGAAGTACTGCACGCGCTGGGATTTTATCATGAGCAGTCACGGAGTGACCGAGATGATTATGTTAACATTTGGTGGAATGAAGTTATAGAAGGTAAGTGAAAATTCCAAGAGGATAGAAAGATTACTGAGTCTGGTGGTCAAACTGGTCTGGGCTGCCTTGGGTCCCTCCCCTGGGCCTCATCTCAGGAAAGAAAGGACTCGACTACTAGGGTTCCCAGACCCCTGGTCCTGGTGGGGGATCCCCCGATTTTCGGGGCTTCTGCTCGTCACTGGCCTGCTGGCTGGTGGACGAAGCCCTGCCCCCAACAGTGAGGTCATATGGCGACGCTCTGCTTTTTGGGCAAAACTCTATGGTTTGAGCCCAATTTTAACCGTAGAGTTTACCCAAAAGGCAGAGCGTCACCCCAACATCACTGATATGATGACGTCATTTCCATGCTATGTCATCGCATTAGGGACATCTCCGCCCACTCCCGGACCACCCTCTAAGTCCTCTCACCAGCATGACGATCGCGCCTGGCAACCCTATCTGCTACACCCTGAGTCTTGCTCATCTCACCTGGCCTTCTCTTCTCTCTTCTCTTCTCTTCTTCTCTTCTCTTCTCTTCTCTTCTCTTCTCTTCTCTTCTCTTCTCTTCTCTTCTCTTCTCTTCTCTTCTCTTCTCTTCTCTTCTCTCTTGTCTTGCCTTCTCTTCTCTCTTGTCTTGTCTTCTCTTGTCTTCTCTTCTCTTCTCTTCTGCACCAGGAGTTGGCAGAAAATCCTCCTCAGCCTGCAAGGGTTTAAATAACCCCCAGTCTCCCAAAAATCCTGACCCCCTCATTTTTTGTCCACAAGACTTTTGGGTCTTACAAAAATTCTCCATTTTGTCTTGGCCTTGTTGCCCTGGTGACTGTCCCAATGTGCATGTTGGTTCTGAGGTGAATCCTGGGGCTCAGGTGAGCCTGAGATCCTGGTCCTGATTGGCTCTCTGGAGCTTCTGCCTTGGACACTCTTCTGCTTCCTGCTCCCGGAATCATCCCAGCCTCTTGTGCCTCTCCCAAGGTGGGTGTGGTGCCACCCATCAGTTGCAGGGCCACCCAGATCAGAGACTTCTGGACCTGAGAAGGTCCAAGTTCTTTTAGATCTTTGAAAACCCATTTTGTACTTGGATGGTTTCAACTGGATACCCAGATTGGAGCGGACTTTTCAGAAATCTGCCCCTCAAAGAATTTACAAGAGACCTATGACAATGCCATATATTGTTGCATCACACTACTGAAAGGTGCTAGCCATGTCTAAAGGTGCAATCGTAAGAACATTTTCCTGGGAGTAAGCTGCATTGAACAGACCAGAGTAGGATTCTGAATGGACTTACTTGAGAGCCAGTTTGGTGTAGTCTTTAGGAGCACGGACCCTAATCTGGGAGAACTGGGTTTGATTCCCCACTCCTCCACATGCAGCTGCTGGTGTGACCTTGGGTCAGGCACAGTTCTCTCAGAGCTGTTCTCTCATGAGCAGTTCTCTCAGAGCTCTCTCAGCCCCACCTACCTCACAGGGTGTCTGATGTGGGGAGGGGAAGGGAAGGTGATTGTAAGCCGCTCTGAGGTAGTGAAGGGCGGGGTACAAATCCAGTCTCTTCTTCTTACTTAAGATTGGACTGCAAATATCTTTGAAGTTGGTATTATATCCTCTCATTCCTAACATAGTGATCATAATTTGTTTCCAGGTCAGACGCACAACTTCAACAAATATGACGACACGTTCATTACTGACCTGAACACCCCCTACGATTATGAATCTGTCATGCATTACGGACCTTACTCGTTCAATAAAAACAGTAGCATCCCCACTATTACAGCGAAAATCCCAGCGTTCAATGACATTATTGGGCAAAGCCAAGATATGAGCAGGATTGACCTCCAAAGGCTGAATCAAATGTACAGTTGTGGTAAGATGATGTTTTTCTTTGCATATGGAAATTCTGGTATCTTTTCTGTAGTTAGGAAAAATTAATTTTTTAAACTTTTCGTGGCAACATTATATTGCCAATCATTCTGCAGCCACGCAATATATTATTCTCTCTGTTGTATCATCTTACATTGTTCTAAGGAGAGCCAGTTTGGTGTAGTCGTTAGGAGCACCGACTCTAATCTGGGAGAACCGGGCTTGATTACCCACTCCTCCTCATGCAGCTGCTGGTGTGACCTTGGGTCAGTCACAAGTTCTTTCAGAGCTGTTCTCAAGAGAGCAGTCCCCGAAAGAGCTCTCTCAGCCCCACCTACCTCACAGGGTGTCTGTTGTGGGGAGGGGAAGGGAAAGGAGATTGTGAGCCACTCTGAGACTCCTTCAGGTAGTGAAGGGCGGGGTATAAATCCAATCTCTTCTCTCTCTCTCTCTTCCAATTGTACTGTACTGAGATAAGAACATATGAGATTGTGGGGCGTTATTGGAGATGGAAAGTCAAGATCCAGAGCAGAAGATCAAAGCTAAGCAAAAGAGGTCTAATTACTATTGCGTCTACAGCTGTACTATCCCATGATGCTGTGCAGCTGTGTGTTGTTTTTTTTCTTGTAGTGGTAAAAACACCTATAGGACGCTGCGTAGGTAGATTTCCCCCCACCCAACTGCAGTCCATCCCTATTAATTCCCATTCCCGTGAGAAATGTGATACCACTTTGATGCATTGGGATAGTGGCTGTTCTTCTGCATGTTGTTGATGATACACACTCGTACCAGACCTTGGCCACTGGGTTGGCATGGGACTCGGGTGCAAATATTGCTTACTTCCCAGGGAGGGCAACTCCAGTGTGGGGAGGAGCCATCTTAGGCAAAATCAATAAGTGCCCATACTCGTGCCTTCTCTGTGGTGGCCCCTGCCTTATGGAGTGGCCAGCCTAAGAAGGTTAGATGGTGGTTGAAAGTGCTGTTAAATCGCAACCAACTTAAGATGGCCCCATAGAGCTTTCAGAGCAAGAGACGTTCAGAGGTGGTTTGCCATTGCCTTCCACTGCAAAGTGACCCTGGACTTCCCTGGTGGTCTACCGTCCCAGTAGAAGTAGAAGAGATTGGATTTATACCCCGCCCTTCACTACCCAAAGGAGTCTCAGAGCGGCTTACTATCTCCTTTCCCTTCCCCTCCCCACAACAGACACCCTGTGAGGTAGGCGGGGCTGAGAGAGCTCTGACAGAAACGCAATAGTAATTAGTCCTCTTTTGCTTAGCTTTTATCTTCTGCTCTGGATCTTGACTTTCCAT